AAAGCAAAGATATGAGTGAAATTCTATTCTCTTATTAAATGCCTGTAAGCACACTTTGAATGAATACACTGAATATAAATATTTAAAGCTTTCAATGTGACAAATGATATTGTTTCTTGTTTGGTCATTTATCTAAAGTAGGTTGGATTGATAAAAGTTCTACTTAACAGGAAAATTTATGTCTAAACCAGTTCTAAGTTCTCATGGTAGGAAAACTATCTCATGGAGGTATGTTAATGGAAATGGAAGAATAGATTTTAAAGCAACTTCAGTAAATTTACGGTTCATTCTTGACCTTTACCCAAAATGAACTGATGATGTATTTTCAAAATTCATATTCAAACCTCATAAGTGGCTAGGTCCAACAGTTTATCCCATACAGTAATAATTAAAATTTTAAATATCTTTCAATAAAAGAAATGGGTTCTAGATCATTTTCCTATTCAGCAAACTTCTTTTGAGGGAAAGTACAATTCGAACTGTTCTATCATATTTGTAAAATATTTAATTATATTTTTCACAGGTGTGCAATGTGAAGTCTTATTGATGTTTTTAAAATATGAAAATAACGACATGTAAAATCTCTGTTCCTCCAATTTTTCTAAGTTAAATTTTTGTTCTTCCATATGTTGCATTCCTTCATTCCATTAAAATAGTAAGATCCAAATATCACCCACCAAATACTAGCAAACTAAATTCAGCACGTATTAAAAGATTTATAGATAAAAAAAAAAAAACCCATGCTGTTCTAATATGATAACATGTTTCCAAAAAAAAGAAAAAGTTTATACATCATGACCAAGTGAGATTTATTCCCAGAGTGCAGGGATGGTTCTACATACAAAAGCCTTTCAATGTAATAAACTATAGGAGTAGTAGTTTTCTAACATCTTCCCCTCAAAAAACCCTGATTTTGACAACACTGGCGAATGAGAGTATCCGTTGTGGGAGTCCGACAGTCCAGTGGAGAAGTTCTTTTTTTTTTTTTTTAAAGATTTTATTTTTATTTATTTGACAGAGAGGGACACAGCGAGAGAGGGAACAC